CACCTGGGTCCAGGTGGGCTTGGTGAGTTGGACGTTTAAGCCCTGTGAGGGTATGGAATACCCTGGAGTCTACACCCAAGTGGCATCTTATTTGCCCTGGATCCGCTCCTATGTCCCTCAATCGGCTTAAGTCTCCAGGCAGGTACAAGGATGCTGCTGATGCAAGCACATCCTCCGGGGTCTTGGAGAATCCCAGGCACCCTCCCCAATGCCAGTTTTCCACCGCTCCCCAGCCCTCCTCCATCCCTGCCTGAGGCCCCAGCCCCTGCCGCCCCCAGGGGTCCTCTCTTTCTCTGTATAGTTGAGAGGGTCAGGGGATGTCTGATGACCTTGTGAAGGTGGGGCAGGGCTGGGGCAGCCTCCATGAGCGGGGGGCCTCTGTCTCACTCCCTGCAGCTCAATAAAGCACATGAACAGCAAGGATTGGCTGTGTGTCCGCTCCTTTGTCTCCTCGTCCAGGGAAATGGTGGGCAGAACCTTCCCAGTGTGTGTGTGTGTGCGTGTGCGTGCACGCACGCACGCACGCACGCACACACCCTCTTCTCTCTCATGATTCTGGGGTGATGGCAAGTCTTTCCTCCCTGGGGGTGTCTGTGCCAGGATTGGAGTATTTGATGGAGGAAGAAGGGAAGGACCCCTTCCTTCAGTCCCCCTCCCCACCCCCCAAATGAACCATCCTTCTCACCCATTGCTGATCCTGCCCTTTCCCTGACTGCTCCCCCTAGCCTCCCAGGTCACAGGGTTCCCCACGGTCTTTGATCACAGGTCAGAGAGGTCCCCGGCTCCCAGGTCACCGAGTCCTCCCACCCCCACCCCCCGAGCCTGCGCTGAACTTCCTGGAAGCAGACGTGTTCTCTGTTTCCAGACATCCATGGGATCATGAAATATAAGGGAACGTCCAAAAGTTAGGGACCAGGTAACTCTTGCTTTCTTCAGAGTTTTAAAACATCCAAGCTGACCTGACAGCCTGCAACGCCCACACAAATGGTGGGAGTGGAACATGGTGCGGCACCGGGAACCCCCCAGGACACCTCCTCAAGCTGCCGGAAGTGGACGTGCCTCGCAGGCCCCAGCATCCCTCTCCTGAACTAGGAGTCGCCCCAGGAGTGTGATATGCACAGCCGTGTCCGTCACTGCACCGGTTCCATTGGCAAAAAGATGGAACCGCCCAACGTGCATCCCCGGCGCATGGAGAAAGGCGCTCTAGCACAGACGCACAGGGGGACGCGCACCGCAGGAAAGATCACCTCGAAGCTGTGGAAGACCCCATGACGGGGTCACCGGGCGCCGGGATACTGCAGTGAAATCAGTCAATCGCAAAAGGACCGAGAGACAAGGCCACGGTTGTAAAAGCCAGGAAGAGGCCTTCGCAGGAAAAGGACCATTCTGCGCTGGTTACCAGCGGAGGGTGGGAGACACAGAGGGGAGTGGAGGCAGGTGTTGACCTGGGTATAGGGAAGACAAGATACAAATCGGAAGGAGATGAGGATAAATGATGGAGTGGAGGCAGGGGAAGGCATTGGGAGGGCCTCAAGGGTTACAGGCGTCAGCTCCCCTGTCCAGCAGTAACAGTGATCTCTGAGCAGATGCTCGGGAAGAGGCCCAGGCTGAGCTGGTGAGGCAGAGCGGAGGGTGTCAGTGGTTGTCGGGAGGTTTGACAGAGGATGTTTGTTCATGGGCAGAACCTTTGCTGCAAGCATGGTGGTGGAGCAGATGGGGGTGGGTGGGGTGGGGTGGGGGTGGGGCAAAAGTTCTGGAAACATTTTAGGATTTTGGTACGTGTATTTAGAATTCTGTACAAATTGTTCATTATGTTTCTGTAGTGATCTCAAAACAACTAATAAAATACCAGGTATAAGAGAAAAAAAAGTGAACAAACCCCAAATCAAAACAGGCTTACTGGTGTAGTAGTAGACACTGGTAGACCCCCAGCATGATGGCCTTTAGTCACCTTTCAGGAATGACTATGAACTCACTCCCCAAGGCTACTTATCAGTGAAGCTTATCAGAGAGAAGCTGGAGAAAACCTAAGAACTATGTCAGGTGCTATGTATAGGAACAATAGCAGAATAATTGGATTACTAGAGGAAGACACAGCAAAGAAGTTATCTGCAACAATAGTGAGAGACTGCTTGGAGGAAAACTTCCCCACTTAATGAATGAAAATCAGACAACCATTCAGGAGGCTGAAAAACCACCAGCTAGCCTGACTCCTAAGAAGTCACCAAGGCACATAATAGTTAAACTATCCAACTTTGAGGAAAAGGAGAAAGTCATGAGAGCAGCTAGGGAAAAACAAGCAATCACATTAAGAGGTTCCCAAATAAGAATATACTCAGACCTATCAGCAGAAACTATAAAGAAGAGGAGGGAGTGGAGTAACTTATTCCCAAAAAGGAAGAAAAACAATGTAAACCCAAGAATACTCTACCCAGACAAATTATCTGTCAAGATAGGTGGAGAAGTAAGAGTCTTTCCAGACAAGGAAAAACTCAAAGAACATGCTAGAAGAAACTCAGCCCGACAAAAGATCCTTGCCAACCCAGTATGGGCAGAAGAATGGCACTCACCAAGCATAAACAAGAGACTGCCACATAGAAAAAACTCACCCAGAGGACAAGAAAGCAAAAACAGACCCCAAGATAGTATTGGCTTAGGTTGGAAAGAAGTCAAGAATGATTCCTCCCCCCCACATGCACAACACACTGATAAGAAAGGGAGGTAGGAAAACACCCAACACAAAAGGTATAAGATGACATCACCGAGTCAACAGATGGAGATAATAACCCTGAATATCAATTGCCTGAACTCAGGCATTAAAAGACAGGCTAGCAGACTGGGTTAGTAAACACAACCCATCAATCTGCTGCCTACA